GTTATTTGGTGCAGGATTTGCTGGCTCTTTAGGCCTAGCTTCATAAATTGCTTACAGTTGAGGTAATTTTTTCTCTCCCAATCACTAAATTAGGTTTAAAAGATAAATAATTCCTCCTTTTTATTATTTTTTTTATAAAGAAATTAATTTGAAAAATAAAAAGTAATGAGGTTTAATGTAAAGAGAATAAAAAATGTAATAAGATTCACAACTTTCTAATAGTGTAGTGGATAAAAGGAGAAAATATATTAGCATAATAAGGGAAATTTCAAAGGAAATTGGAAATATAATGAGGTTGTGAGTAAAATAAATATAAAACTAATATAAGAATCCATTGTAAAATAAAGTGAGAAAGTCAAATAAATTCCTAATTTGAGTTAATAATGCATTAATCATTCTTTATTATATCTATATCTATATATCTATATTGAAAGAGGTTGATGAATAATTCAAAATGAAAAGTTGACTTTTTGTTTAAATAGTTTAACTTACTTATTAAGGATAATTTTTATTTTTATTTTTTTCTATCCTTTTGCATCAAATTTAGTTTTCAAAATATAATGCTTAAATATTGTCTTACTTTTACTTCTTATAGTGTACTTTAATTTTAAAAATTGTGGGCCAAAATATTATTAAGTTTTTTTGAACAATTTAGTTGTCATACTATTTGAAAACAATTATGTACCAATATTTTTTTTTAAAAAAAATGCAAATAAATTTAAAAATAGACGACAATAAATTTTGGTATTACGTTTTCTACAATAAATCTCAAACAATAAAATTAGTCATTTACATTAATATCCAAAAATTGAATATTTGCAGTATTCTAATTACATGTAGAATTATCATGATGTCTAAAAAAAATTGTGTTAATATTTTCCCATTACAAAAATAAATTAATGGCAGATATGATAATTTTTCACAACTAATTTTTTATATAGTACTTTTTATAATAAATACTTATATATATATTATATAAACGGAAAAATTATTATGTTTAAAAACATAATAATTGATATGCAATTTATCTATGCTAGTAACTCATGTTGATATTGAGTTATGGCGACAATTACAAAATCAATTGATTAATTTTATTTCTAAAATATGTGTTATTTTAATAAAATGTATAAAGGGAGAAATAAGTATATTATCTTTAGGTATATAATTTATAATCTTAATATATTATCATTTGTTATAAACATTTACTACATGAATCATAAAATATTTTTTATTTTCATAAAGTTACATATATTTATTGAAAATAAGAAAGTTTCATTTGATCAATCGAGTGATTAAATTAGATAAATGCTCAATATTAGTCGATATTTAAAATAGTCCAAAAACATGACACAACTGAGGTTGATCTCGGGTGACCGAGTTATGAGTCCATGACACAACTGAGGTTGATCCCGAATGACCAAGTTATGGTTCATTTTGATCAAACCAAATAAATTATTGAATTAAACATAATTTTTAACATTAAAAATATTTTATTACCATAAAAGTAATGTAGTCCATACTCTAAATATACATATTAAGAATGCTTTTAGTTTAGGACAACATGTTCAAGAATTTATGAACAATTATATATAATTTCATTAATATTTGTGTGAACAAAGTGATCTTGCATTACAACTTTATTAATGTACGGTAAATTCAAAGTTCTTAGGAGATGATTGTTTTTAAACTGATCATGTTATTATTCAATGATTTATTAGTTGCAGCAAAATTTTAATTATTAATATTTTAATATATGCGAACAAAAAATTATATTTATTAGGAGTGAGATTTTATACCCGGAAACCGGATAATCGAACCGGATCGAACCGAAAATAACCGGTTCGGTCCGGTTGTTTAAGAAAAAAAATATTTTTTTGAGTTTCGGTTTTTTTCCACAAAATGGTTCCGTTCCCGGTTCCTTTCAAAATGTATGTTATGTGTATTAACCGAGGAACCGACTATATATGTGAAATATGCATGCTTTATATGTTAATTATATATGAGTCGGTTCCGGTTCTTGGTATATAATATTTGGTTTTTCATTTTTGTATTTCGGTTTTCGGGAATTCATAATACTTTTAGTATACGAGTTGTAATTTTTATATTTGTTCTTAACTCAAAACTAGTTATTGTCGGTTATTTTTAATTACTCGATTACCTAAAGAACCGGAAGCACCGAACCGTTTTATTTTTCAGTTAACCGTACCTGTTATTTAATTTCGGTTCCAATTCCTGAAAAATATGTTAGGAACCGGACCAGTCCCAGGGCTACCATTATTTATACTATCAAATTAAATGTCATACTTTTTCTCTATGTTGTTTTTTTAAAGTGCAACAGTTTACCCGAAAATATGTATATTTATAAAAAAAAA